ATTCTAATATAATATAATATAATTACCACACCCCCACCTCCACCACTCCCACTGCTCCGGGAACTATTCCAGCTATCGTTCCGGTCACGACTTTTTTTCGGCGATTGTTTCGATTCTGTCGACTATTCAGATGACCATTCTATTACCACTTTATTCTGGTGATTGTTTCTATTCCGACGAATATATTAAGGTCATAGATCTATGCAATTTGATCACAATTCAACATTTTCATACGTCGTATTTGTTCATCTATCACAAATCACAAAATTTATAAGATAGTAATTATATTATGGTTACATACATAAATTATATTTAGGTCATAATTTATCAAATTATTGGTCACAATTTAATAATTTTTAGATCACACAACATGTATTGGTCATAGTTTATCTAATTCATTGGTCACATATTATTTATTGATCACACAACAATCAAATTATTGGTCACAATGAACCAAATCATTTGTGAGCACCACTTCGTCACTGCCTCCACCAGCGACACCACCACCGTTGCTGCCCAAAAGCAATATCAACATCTCAAAATCAACACCACGCCCTCCCCAGCACCACTATCACCACCCCAAAACCATCACCGCCATAGCACCGTCAAAACAACACAGAACACACAAATCATACACAGAGCACACATATCCACACACACAACCCCAAAACAAGCGGAAAACGCATAAAAACAACCATCGTCGCCACCAACTTAGATCCACAATTCGCACGCCCGATCCACCGCCAACACCACGGCACCTCGTCGTTTTCGACCACCGCCGCCGCACGCATGCACGCACGTGCACGCGTACACACACAGAGAAAACCATCGCACCGCTATCGCACTCCACACCTCTACCACCACGACCACAGAACCGCTCAAACAGAACAAAAAACAAATAGATCTGCACCTCCACCACCGCCGCACCCACACACAAACCCAACTGTAACCGCCGTCGCATCCGACACATGCACGCACCCCCACAGCAACGAACCCTCACCCACAGCAACACAAAGACCACCACCACCGTAGAACACCACCGCACCACTCAAAAATTTAAAAACAAAAAGAAAGAACAGACAAAGATGAAAATGGATTTGCGTTTCAGCATCACAGGAAAGGAGAGAAGACATGGCGAGAAGAGAAGACAGCACCGTCGTCGCCGGAGAGAGAGGAGAGAAGACAGAGACGGGATGACACGAGAATTTGGTGGTTTCTTCATATTAGTTTGGGGTTTGATATAATTATATAAAAATAAAAATTAAAGTTTTTAAATTATTAATTAAAACTTGATTTTTGCAATATGAAACTTGATTAAGGATTTATGAAAATGGTAATCTAAAACCAAGTCTAGGTGTAATTTCCTCTTAATAAATTGGCAAATTAATTAGTTCTTTAGAAAGCCCAAATCCCCTAATCTCCACTTAATTTTTATTCCCTATCTTCTCTAATTGATTTTAAATGTTTGTTTATCCTTCACGTTCTTCGGAGGACTACCAAAATTAGTATAAATATGGATAGAGTTACGTTAGTTCGAGACAGAACAATGTAACAACATGTAATTAAAAATATAAGAAAGTAGCGGCTAATTGAAAAATCAATACCCATATTCAGTAAATGAGATAAAAAGTGATTATCGTATCACATTAAATAATATTTTTTTATTTCAAAAGTAGATTTTTTTTTTCTTCTAATGTTTGTCACAATTTGTCTACAATAATCAAATAAAAACCCTTGACTAAAACCTAATCCATGTTAGTGGGCCCTGGCAAAGAAAAAAGGATAAAGAAAAAAATTGAACATCCACATGGTACGTACTACGTAGTGATCAAAGACCATGTTATTGAATATTGATTCCATTATTATTTTTTTCTTTTTCAAAATCATGAACGAAATAAATAGTTAATTAGGTCATATTATTATACCCAAAAAAATTTATACTACATTATTTTATTATGATCTAATCTTCTAGTCAACGATAATTGGTTGTCAAAATCGCATGATCATCTAAAATAACAATAATTGTTGGGAGATGCTACATGTACTACATGGGCTACAAAAGGGATGACTACATG